CGTTTTTTTGTTTGCTTATTTGTTTTTTTTTTTTTTAAGGATTTTTATTGGGGAATTGGAGGCGGGGTACAGCGTTGGGGAATTGGGGAAGGGGAACAAACAAGTTGCTGTCCTTTTGTTCTCCAGTCTAGTAGTGGAGGACGTTGCTTCACTGGCCCATGTTGGCATCATCATTGCGCTCTTCCCGGGTGAGGCAGTCGATCACCGGCCATTGGACGGCCGCTCATGGCAGCTCACAGCAGCTCACAAAAGCTCATGCCCGCTGCAGGCCAGCCCACTGAAGCCTACACCATCGCCGGCAATTCATGGCAGCCCAGCTCCAGGTCGAGCTGTTGTTCACCATCTTAGCTGTAGAGGGCAGTGTCACTGGCCCTCATATGTGGGATCTGAACCAGGGCCCTGCTGGTCGGAGCTGGCGTCCCAAGCCAACTCTTAACCAACGCACCACTTGGCTGGCCCTCATAATCTTTTTATTTGACAGATACTGTGGTACCAGAAGCAATGTGTGACATGGAGCATTGTCATGATGGAAGATGAAATAAAGACACTCATGAAAGAGGACTTCCAGAACTGCTTCAGAAAGTGGCAAGAATGATGGGATAAGTATGTTTGAAGCAAAGGGGGTATTTCAAGGGGGATTAATGGCAATGTGTTTTTTACTGTAATACATTTTTTATTTAAAAAGTCACCCTATCTTTTGATCACATCTCGTAACTCACTGTGGTTTTTACTTGAATTTCTGTGATGTGGTAGCCAGTGTCCAAGATGGCACCCAGTGATCCTCATCTCCTGGTATTCATGCCTTTGTATAGTCCAATCCCATAATAAATAGGGATGACCTGTGTAACCAAGGGGTTATTGCAGCAATGACAACTGAGTCACATCTGAGATCAGGTCATAAAAGACATTGTAGTTTCTGTCTTGTTCTCTCTTAGATCACTCACCCTGGAAAAAACTAGCTGCCATTTCATGACACTTAAGCAGCCCTATGGAGAGGTTTATGTGTCAAGGAACTGAGGCCACCTGCCAATAGCTAGCACTAATTTCGCAGTCACTGGAGTGAGTCTTTTGTAAGAGGATCCTCCAGTCTCAACCAAGACTTTGGATATAGCCCAAGCCAATGCCATGACTGCAACCTCATGAGAGAGACCCTGAGACTAAGCCATTCAGGTAAGCCACTCTCGGATTCCTCACCCACAGAAACTGTGTGAGGTAGTAAAAGTTTATTGTTGTTCTAAGTTTTGGGGGTAGTTTGTTACTCAGCAATAGATAACCAATACAGATTTTGGTGCTTGGATAGGGTGCTACTGTAAGAAACATCTAAACTGTGGGAGTGGCTTTGGCAACAGGTAGCAGGTGAAAGATGGAAGGACTTTGAGGGGCGTTTTAGTGAAAGCCTTTTGATAGAACCTTCATGGCCTTTGAGGAATCTACCAGCAAGGTCTTATGGGAAAGTATGGTAGGCAGAATTCTAAGATGGCTCTCAAGATTCCTGCCCTCGAGTATATATGTTTTACATAATTGCTTCCCTTGTGTGGGAATAAAACCTGTTAATATGATATTACTGCCATGATTATGTGCATTACATTGCAAAAGGGATTTTGCAGATGTAATTAAAGTACCTAACTATTCTATTTGACTTTGAGTTAATCAAAAGGGATACTATCCTGGGTGGGCCTGAGCTAGTCATATAAGCCCTTAAAACAGACAAACAACAGCATGAGATTCTCCTGCTGGCTTTGAGGGAGTGAACTAACATGTTTTGAGATGGCCTTTGGAGGGTGCCATATGACAAACAGGAAAGGAGCTGTGTCCTGCAGGCAGCACAAGGAAAGGTATTCTTGGTAGAGGGAACATGTTCCCTCTACATGAGGAGGCTTGAAAGTGTATAGTTGTGAGTAGTCCCTCCAATGGGAAGAGTGACAAGAGATACCAGCTGAGAAGTTGAATACCATACTTAGGAGCTGTACTGTCTCACATGGGCATCAAAAGGGAGTAATTTACAACAGGGAAGTGACATTACTATTATCTCTAGAGAGCACTTCCTATGAGCCAGGAACTAAATTAATGTGCATACATTATCTTAATCTGTAATAGTACCAAAGAAGAAGTTACTATCATTATCCCCTCTCTACAAGGGAGGAAACTCAATCTTAGAGAAGTTATGCCCAAATGTAGTAGGTGATAACTGAGAATTTAAAACCCTAAAAAGTATTCTGCTAATCATTTTTAGATCATCTCATCTAGAGAAGAAATATTCTAAAAGTGGTATGAAAGATGGATTGAAGGAAGGCAGACAAGGAGCCTGCTAGGGCTGTTGCAAGGGTTTTGAGGAAGGATGATGAAGGTACTAAGTAAAATTGCAAGCCTGGCTTTGCTATGTTCTCTGTAGCTTTGGGTTGGCTACCGAACCTCTTGGAGCATCAGGACCCTCTGTAAAATGAGGATGCTAATGGTGCTTACTTTACAAGATGGTTGTATTAAATGAGAAACTGTCTATCATCTAGCACCACGTCTGAGATGTAGTTGCTCCTTAATATATGGAAACAGAAGGTATTCATTTAATACATGTAAAGGTGGGTCAACTCCAAGAAACTCTTATTAAGTATTTAATAAAGTGGTCTTCGAGGTTCATACTGGTATCATATTGAACAAGACGAGCAAATAAATAATCAAATAAATAATTTTAAGTGCAATAACTGCCAGTAAGGAGAAGTAGAGGATGCTAATTTTTAGCTCGAGTATGGTCATTTTTGAAGTTTTTCTCTATCTTCAGTAATCTGATATTGAGTTTGTTTTATAGTAATTCGGACAAAATTTGCACAGCTAAAACCAACAGATAAAACAAAAAACCTAATAGAAATCACAAATCTCCTGCCCCCCAAACCCAAACTAGTCGTGCTTGTCCATGACCCCGTCCTCCACTATAGCCACGCCTCCTGGGCTCACTTTAGCTTCACTCAGCCTGCACTGAGGGGGCTCCAGGATCCTGGATCCCAGCCTAGGCTTATTTGCTCGGAAGAGTTCCTCCTTCTAGCAGGCAACGGAGGCAGAAAGGAGTCGCGAGATTTCGCTCGATCACTCCCCTAGGCCCCGCCCCTCCTCGGCGCTCAGGGCCCAGCTTTCTTGGTTGCACGTGTAGTTGTTGTAGTTCGTCCTCACGTGACAGCGGAAGTGCAGGCACCTCAGGCCCCGCCTCAAAGATGGCGGCGCCCAGTGCATTGGTCCGCGACCCTCCTCTGGTCAGTTAAGAATTGTAACCTTGAAGGTGTCAGCTGGGCCATGGACGGACCTGGATTCACGGCCTCACTGGTGGTGAGTGCGGGGCGTTAAAGTGGGGCGCTCGGAGTGCCGGACTCCGGCACGGTGCCTGTGGGGACTTCTCTGCACTAACAATTTCTTCCGGTTTTGCGCGCTGGACTGTCCTCGGATCACCTGGTCACCAGGTCTGGGGCTGCGGCGCGGGGCTCCTGGTATGCCGCCAGGCCTCGTCTAAAGGCCATATCTTGAGACGCCAGAAAGAGACGGCGGACTCGGGAGTACTTGATTCATTGTCTTTCGTACGAAGACAATTTTTCCATAAAGAAAAAAAAAAGCTTCAATTAATATAACTACACTCTGGAGAACTTGGGAATTAAGAAAATATATGTAACAAAACAAGAAACGCTTACTTAAGTCGCTCAGAGCCCTCCTGTCCAAGACTATGGTTGTCATTTTGCTGTATCTTTTTTTTCACTTTCAGAATATGACATATCCATTCATTCCTTTAATATATAAATAATGTGCTTATTCTGCTTTCAAGCATTCTGTTAGGCTTTGGGTACATTGATGTAGGGACCTGGCCCACAGTCATGAGCTAGTAGGCAGTCAAGGTCTCCTGCTTCTTGGGACGGTGTGCAGGCCAGCAGGGCCCGCCAGATGGTTTTCCTCACTTGAATGTGCTTTGTTTGCTGTATCTAGCTATATAATCTTGCTTCTTCTCTGCCTGAGTGCAGAGCACTCTGGTCAGCTGCCACCAGAGACGCTCCTCACTCTGTAAGTTTCAATAAATCTATACCCCACACTCAGCCACCTGGTGTGTTTTTTGTGCTTGCTGCTTTTCAGGCACAAATCTTGGAACAACTTGGATTCGGTTGGAACAATTGATGAGCACAAATAGCTGTGCTATAGAACCATAGACAGTAGTGCTTAATTCCTTAGAAAACCATGAGAATCAATACTTTTTAACATAAAAAAAGAAAAAAAATCCTTCAGTAGATATTTTGAAACCTCTCATGGTAGGCCAGGTAGGGGATACTAGATGCAGCACTGAATAAGACAGGGATTGGCTTGCTGTGGACAGAAGCAGACAAACAAATAACTTTTAAAAAGCTCCTCACCAAAAAATGGAGGCCCAGAGGAATTCCTTCATTTAATTATCAAATGCTTAATGTTGCAGGTGTTGGAGATAACATGGTGAACAAGCTAGACCTGCCCACATGGGCCAGGTGGCACAGACAGACTAGTAAAATGACTGTTAAAATAAATGACATAAGGGCTATTTCAGAGTGTTACGGGAAGTGTTGGGGAAGGGGCACTTCAGCCAGATTTATGGGACGATGATTTTCAATCAAGATTTCTTGAGACTTGTGTAAGCTAGGATTTAGAGATGCATACAAAGAAATACGTTACCATTTTAAAAAAGTTTCCTGTCTTAGCCTGTGAGATAGCAGTAGTAGTTTTGACGATTAACATTATTGTGCTGGGAACTGGAATAAGCCCATTTCATACATCTTCTCATTTAATTCTGTCAAACAATTGAAGTCTTATTCTGGTTTTCCAAGTGAGGTAACTAAGGCACAGAGAGGTTAGATAACCTGTCCAAAATTACACAGGTGAGACCCATTTCATGTGTGTAAGTGTTGAAGATCAGATTCCAACCCAGGCATTGTAACATGTGATTTCATACTCTTAACTGCTCCTTGATACTATGTCTGAAATCAGTAGCAGTTGCTAAAAACAGGTAAGTCCAAGTTAACACAAGAACAATGGTTTTAAAATTTATTTAAGTGTGCTACACATATGTAGGCGGGTATACCTTTTTCAATGTAGTTACAGAGGGTAAAATTGGGATCAATGGGTACAAGTTTCAAGGAAGTTAGATTTCATTCCAGCTAAAAACAAATCATTTTATTAATTCAGCACAGTTTATATGCCCATGAATTCTGCCCTTTGGGCACTGTGATCGCCCTTGGAGATAGATATGGTGGCAAACAAGCCAAACCCAAAAGATAAGTACTACTCTGAGAGAAGTGAACTGAGGTGGGATAGAGAGAGAATAATATTGGAGAACATACTTTTGATGGAGTGACTGAGGAAACTGAGGAGGTGATATTTAAACTAAGACTTAAAAGATAGGAAGGGGCAAGATATTTTGATGTGAAGAAGGGCAAGTTCATAGTGAGCAGCACATGAGAAAACCCTCAGGTGGAAAAGTTTGGAATGTTTAAATGGAGGCTGAGGCCTACTGGGTAAGAGTATGGCAGGGAATGATATTGGAGAGGTAGACAAGGCCAGCTGAGGTGAGTTTTTGCGGGCCATGGAAAGGAATTTGGATTTTATTTGAAGCATAACAGAAGCCATTAGAAGGTTTTATTATCAAAGTAGTGTAGAAATGGAGTGGCCATTTTTCAAGGTTGTGAGCATCTTTTGAGATAGGCTGAACACTCCTGCGGAAGTACTGTTTTGCTTACTACCATCTTAGCAGTACCTGACACTTGGTAGGCATTCAACAGTACTTGTTGAATGAATGAATGAAAGGTAGGCCTAGATGATTGCTGAAGTCTTGGAAATTGGATTCTAAGGGTTAAAGGAGATAACATCAAATATGCAGTACAGAGCCTGGCATGTAGCAGACATTTAAATGTTCCCTTCCTAAATCTTCATGAGGGGCATTGAAGGGCTGTAGTGTTGAATAAGGGAGAGCCTCTGGGATATTGCTAGTATTCGTTTGGAGCAGAGTGGGCTCTTCAGGAAAAAAACAAAACAAACCTCCAAGAGCACGTTGAGTGGTGCATGCTTTTAGGAAATAGCTACCTAATTATTAGCTACCTAAAGTTATCCATAATATTTAACGTAGTGAAGTTAACTGGAAGCCGCTTAAACATGAAACAAGTGGAATGGTTAGGTAAGCGTTGATAGATGCATTTCATAGACTATTCAGTGACCCTTTGAGTAGCGCTTGTAAAGAGCATATGCTATAACAACATGGAAAATGCTTATGAGAGTAAAAAAAAAATAGAACACGGTACACATGTACATCTCTTCATGCCTAATTAAAACTACGTAAAAATACTATTCCATTCATTTAAAAAAGGCTGCATTGATATTCTCCAAGATAATATGAAATAATTTTGATAGTAGTATTACCGATGATAGTTCTAGACCTCTGCAATAGAGCAAGTGCAGGCACACCATGGAGATATCGTGGTTTCAGTTGCAGACCACTGTCATCAAGTGAATATCGCAATAAAGTGAGTCGTTTTTTTTTAAAAGATTTTTTTAATTGGGGAGTTGGGGGATGGGAACAGCGCTGGGGAATTGGGGGAAGGGGAACAGGCAAGTTGCTGTCGTTTTGTTCTTCAGTCTAGTTGTGGAGGACGTTGCTTCACTGGCCCAAGTTGGCACCATCATTGCGCTCTTCCCG